CACCGCTTTCTTTCTGGTGTGTTAATTATGTTAGTTTTAATTCTGCCTTTTAATATTAAAGATCAAAATTACTTTCAGTAATACTAATTAATTCCCAACTTTTGGAAAGTTTCGATTAATTTTGACGTTAACTTAATTGTTAAAATAATAGATCTCAGGGAGGAGTCATAAATGATGCACTGCAGTTGTTGAAGTAAAATCTTATATGACTTGGGCTAAACAACTTAAATGTGGTCTCTGAAATATAAAATACTAGCGACTTATCGTCGCTTTGCTCGGGTTCTTCCTTAGGTCGATTCCCATACAAACTTTCATCCCCATTTTCACACCCTTAAGGGATGATTTCCGAGATAAAAAGAGTCCTATGTCCTTCCCAGGGTCTCAAACTATCTTCTTACCATATATCATCTAAATCGGTTCAGTAGATCCAGAGATTACTCCCTACAACGTCACAAACTCACAATTAAACACACAAACTGACAAACTTTACCTCTTCATAATATTAGTATATATTGATATAGATTATCTGTCAGGAAATTAAACATTCTTTAACTACTGAAAAGATTTTAACCCATTTGTTTCTTGCCTTTTAAATTGAACTTCGCATCTACAAGTATCTACTATCATGTAAATTAAGGATCATAAACTGTTTGTGAAAGCTTATTTGCATAAAGAGGTAAAGTATTAGGAGTTTCTGAATTATGGCACTCGTAAATCTTCAACCAGAAATAGTGTGTTCCGCCGGCACAGTTACTCATATATAACGATGCATTTTAAAATACTGTATGTACATATATGTATGTAGATATAATGTAATGGGTCATTTTCTGTGTTTTAACTTTCTTCAAAAAAGAAGGAATTTCTCAATTATATAAATCATTATTATCAAATATTGTAAACCGATTTTGACAACAAGGTAGCAATAGTGTTGCTTAATATTTTAACTTTAAATATGTAAGGTTGCACTTTTATATATTGAGTGTATTAATAGAAAATAATATATTTGATTAGTAATGATTTATGTATAAGGCATTTACTTATGTACCCAGGTACCTAATAATAATAACAGCTTAAATTAAATTAATATAGGTAGAGAAAGAGGGAGATAGTCATTAAAAAGGAAAAATACGCAAAAGATGTACCTAATAAAAAACTTTAATTATAAGAAAATAAATATAATAAAAGAAAACCTGTTCTTAAATACACGTAAAAAGCGTACATTTAATCATTACCGTACAAGTCATACAGAGTAATATAATATCAGTAATATTAATGATTTGAGTATAATTTAAACACTGATACCGTGCCGTCGCTTATTCTGGGTGGGTGGGTCATTATACTTAGGTACATATGCTGGAATACTGTAATAATACTGCATTGTCTTGGCAATAATATTGTCATTTCTTTTTCTAGATTGAAGATTTATCATCTGTTTTTTTATTTCTATTATAAATAATAGATATTTTAGATCGAAATTTCCTATAATGGGCCAAATTGTGCATAAGAATCCATTTCCATTAGTCAAATAAGCTTGTCTACTCTGTAGTGGAAAGAACATTAAGCTATTATTTCTAATATTTTGTATTAACACCGAAACACTGTACATTTAAAAAAATATGATAATTTAAAACAAAAATTAAAACTAATCTTGTAATAGTGGGGTGCTGATAAACGCGCCGGTCGCATGACTGCCGCTATTAGTCGCGGGCCGCGCCTCTATCACTCCTGCGAATTATTTTTATTTATTAAATGTGTGGTATCACTGTATTTCCTTATAAATTACGTTTTCCTGAAATTACATGATAATGTAAGATTAATACTATTTGAACTAATCCTTAGTTTCCTAGTTGTAGCATTTTCATTGGGTAAAATAACATCACGTCCAGTGTAATAGGAGGAATAGTCTGAACTCATCAAATATACCTGTTTATTTAATGCTAGCCTCACGAAAATGTCGTTCTGTTAGTTATTATCTGTCTAAAGAATAACTAGAGCACCTTTGTCTGCATTCGCACTTATACACAATAATATTTGCTTCACAGGTGACTACACTAATTCTTGCACTGTTAATATGCTTTGCATGCCACGACGATTTGTAATTCCGTCGTTGCGTTTGATTAAGAGTAAGTTTTATTTGTATAATATAAAAGTTGTTTATAATATATTATTGGCTTTATTAGTAATCGTTTTGGGGCTGTGAAAATAATGAACCAATTTAAATTTGTTAATCTGTTTATTCAATCCTTTTCCAGTATCCAGTTTTGGACCCAATGCTGGGTGCGGTCCCCTCTTCAATAGGAGGGGTATCAGGGGAACTTCACACTTCTTTCGACAACTTGCTAAGCTCAGACATTTCCTCACGTTGTTTTCCTTATCCGTACAACAAGTCATATTGGACATGATTCGAACATGTTAATATGAGAACTGCGAGACCCGGGATTCGAATCCGCTTCACTCAGATTTACCACTGGGCTACGGCACTTAAATTTATTTACTTTCAGCCAACAAAAATAAAGAAAGTATTATTTAATAAGTCATGCAACCTTAATATAACAAATTGTTAAATACTAAAAGTTAAAATTAATGAAATTTAATACTTTCTTAGATTTACGCGAATATTTGACATTTTAAATAAAACTATCTTTTCGGATTTTGTCGCGGATTTATTTGTATTTTTGTTTCCCGACGTTTCGAATGCTTTACAGCATCCATGGTCACGGGAGAGACTGAGGTGTTACATGTCTTAAAGATATAGTTGTTACAGACAGCCTACCCACAATTAACAAAATGAAAATTGCACCAATTACATTACAATATTTTAACTTTAAATATTTTTATAGTTTTAATTATAATTGAATATGGAAAATTATTTATTTAATTTTTGCTATTATTTTTATAATTATTACAATTTTAAAATATTAATTAGCAATCTATATTTAGTGTTGCCATTATTATATTTATAACCATAAGAAAAATATAAAATATAGTATTAATTATTTAAGCCACAATTGATCTATGTGTAATTTGAAAAAGTTAAGATTATTTAAAAAATAATAATTTTAATTTAAATTTGCTATTATTTAAAAACAAATTATTAAGCAACACATTACTACATACATTTACAAATGAAGAAGTGAAAAAATATTATTAATCAGAAATGCTATCATTTTGATCTACACAGTAAGAACTTACTACATCTACCTGTCTGTTATGTTTAGATTTATTATTAGATTTTATTATATTAATAACAGGATCCCATGACGATGGTAGTACCCAGCCATCTTCCCTATTGAAATTAGGATGTTTTTTAATTTTTATTCGAAAAATTCGAGAAGCCATAGAAATTAAAAAACATCCTAATTTCAATAGGGAAGATGGCTGGGTACTACCATCGTCATGGGATCCTGTTATTAATATAATAAAATCTAATAATAAATCTAAACATAACAGACAGGTAGATGTAGTAAGTTCTTACTGTGTAGATCAAAATGATAGCATTTCTGATTAATAATATTTTTTCACTTCTTCATTTGTAAATGTATGTAGTAATGTGTTGCTTAATAATTTGTTTTTAAATAATAGCAAATTTAAATTAAAATTATTATTTTTTAATTAATCTTAACTTTTTCAAATTACACATAGATCAATTGTGGCTTAAATAATTAATACTATATTTTATATTTTTCTTATGGTTATAAATATAATAATAGCAACACTAAATGTAGATTGCTAATTAATATTTTAAAATTGTAATAATTATAAAAATAATAGCAAAAATTAAATAAATAATTTTCCATATTCAATTATAATTAAAACTATAAAAATATTTAAAGTTAAAATATTGTAATGTAATTGGTGCAATTTTCATTTTGTTAATTGTGGGTAGGCTGTCTGTAACAACTATATCTTTAAGACATGTAACACCTCAGTCTCTCCCGTGACCATGGATGCTGTAAAGCATTCGAAACGTCGGGAAACAAAAATACAAATAAATCCGCGACAAAATCCGAAAAGATAGTTTTATTTAAAATTAATGAAATTTATATGTACACAACATATTAATAATTCTTATTTTGGAACACTACCAAGGATCCCAAACAATATAGTGTTCCAAATTCCTGCGGTAATCCACATACGGTAATGATATACCACTTAATAGGTGGATACCTATCGATTAAGCTATTCTTATATTTAGATGATTATAATCGAACAATATATTATGTAGAGATAATGGGAAGTGATGGCGTCACCATTGATCAAGCGGAGTCAAAGCTATTTATTAAACGGCCGGAGTTGGCATTAATCGAAATAAGAAAGAATTTCCGTTATTATTAATAAGAAAGTTCGGAACAATTGAGTAGAGATGTTCATTATGCTTTATCGCGAGTATCGATAAATAAATAAAAATAATTATATGTTATAAAAATCAAAGAAATAATCATTTTATGTATAGGAAATATTATTATTTAGTTTTAATATTTAATACGCCTCTGAGGTAACAAAGTTACATATTATTTAATTACTTAATTATCCATTTTCTAAAGCTACCTAAAACATAATATTTTAATCTTACTACATAATTGATAATTATTAAATTAAATAAGAGAAAGTAAAAAAAAATACAACAAAATTTAACACTGCACATTATTGTGTAAGATTACATAACTTATTCTACCTAAGTATTAAAGAAAAAGTCATCCTTATTCTAATAAAATAATATAAAATTGTATTTTTTAAATGAGTAACTATCGACAAACGGTTTTGGCACAACTCTAGAAAGCAAAGAAAAGAGTCATAAAATAACGTTGAGTTTACGAGGGGGTGCGGTGTGGGAACGGGTTCGGGGGAAAATTTTCAGACTTTTGATGCTATCTTCGCCCTCTGACTCTGTTGCGGACTTTCCGTACTATAAGTTGTTATCGTGAAGTTTCTGTACTCCACTACCGTAGCTAAAGTATAAAGTATTGAAGTTAAAACTTATAGATAAATAATATAAGTATATGTATATCGTAGATACGGTGAGTGTTGAGTTTGTTACTTATTTTCTTTCTTTATTTTTATTTTAAAGTATGAGACATTTATACAGATTATGTCTATGGGGCGAGAATGTGTGCGTGGGTGCTCGAGTGTGCACGTGTGCGTGCGTGCATGTGTGTCTGTCTGTGTGTGCTGAAACAAAAATCAAAATAAATATTAAACGCGACAAATACCGAAGAGACGGTTTTATTTAACATTCCTTTTTCAAATATGTAACTATATATAACTTAAAAAAAAGAATTCTAACATATACCTAATACGTAATATTATATAATTTACAAAACTTTTATTACCCATCATGAAGCCAAAAGTCTACTGGTAGATTTCTACTCCGTTGGTATTTGCGTGAAACCTACATTTTAGCAGTACTTTGCATTTCTATGAACGTCCCGCGTGACAGGACGGAAGCCGTTAAGAAAAGTTATAGTTATGTTCTTTTGCAGATACGTATCTAGCTGTGGGAGTCACAAGGTTGTTCTTCTTTACAAGTGACATTTAAGCAATTTCATTTAACTTGATCTTATCGATATGAAATGATCCTAATTTTATTCCTTTAAGTAATCTATTTATGTAATTGATATATTATAAAACAAAGTCGGTTTTGTTACAACACTTATAACTCGAGAACTACTGGACCGATTTTTATGATCTTTTGTTTGTTGGATTTGTGGTTGTGACGTGTGGTGGTGACGCGGTTCCCGACGTTTCGAATGCTTTACAGCAATCATGGTCACGGAAGAGACTAAGGTTATAGACATCTCAAACACATACTTCTTACCGATAGTGTTATTGTGTTCATTCAAAAAATATTAAAAATGTTTATTAAAAATATTAAAACATTGGAAACATTCACGAAAAAAAATTGAACAAAAAATAATACGGCACAAATAATTTTTTTGCTAATTTTGTTCATTAATTAATCTCTCTTTGCCTCATTCTATAAATCATCATTTGTTATCAGTGTATCTATAATTGATGATGTTCTCCTGACCAACTCCGGCCACGGCGGTCAATCTCATTGAGACTAACCAACTGCGCAGGAGATATTATAGTGCACAAGTGTACGCGCAGACACAACGTGCACTCTCTATTCCTGTCACTCTCATACTCCGGGGGGACGACTGCTCGACACGACCAGTGAGAGTTAAGGCGCAGAACCGACGGCTTTACGTGCTCTCCGAGGCACGGGGTGAAACACCGCCACCTTCCCAACTCCGGGCTGTTACTGAGGCTTACTATACAGAAAGACTCAATAACTAAACTTGACCCGACCCGGGACTCGAACCCAGGACCTCCGGGTGTGCAGCCGTACATGCTAGCCACTACACCACTGAGGCAGTTAAATATCTTAGGTATCTATAATTACGCATAACGAGTCAATAGACATGAGTAAAATTATTCAGAAAGGAGAGAAAGATAAAAGAAGATATTTGCTGTATTTGCAGATGTTCAATACTGCACACTATGTCTACAGGCTTGAGTAAATATAACGTGATTTTTGTTGTAGGATAACCTTAGTGGTGAAACAGTCCAACTGAAACTGTCTGTCTGTCTGTGTATCTACGTGTGCATGTTGATCCGGTCTAATGGACAAAATGGTATAAGTTTTATACACCGTAAAAATATGTATATCCCATTTTCCATACAACATAGTTACACTAACAACATGTCATTATGAGTCAATGAAGCAAACACTTCATTATTTGTTACAAAGTACTTGAAATATTAAAGGCGTTGCTCAAATTATAAATAATAATTTGTTGAAGACCGTAAGAGCGGCGCAACTGCAGCGGGCCAAGGCCGGGCGACGCGGTCAATATTACGTACACTACAGTCTACAGTACACAGTACACGGCACAGTGTATACCCCCTCGCCGCCCGCCCCGCGCCGCCCCGCGCCGCCCGCCCACAGTTGCCAGGTGTCCCGCTTTCAGCGTTACAACCCGATGACATGCTTTTGTTCTTACGAGACTTAAAATCGCCTTAATAGAATAGATTAATGAGTTTTGTCAAATATTACCTACTTATTTAATGTTTCGTTATACTACGAGTATATGTTAAGTTATTAAGTAAATACTTTATCGTATCATTAAAATATAATGCCGGTCAGAACATTCATATTGATCGCATTTTCATCTTATTAAAAGATGTAAAAGAAAAATTTAAAATTAAATATATTCACATCAAAAGGCAAACAGAATTAATACCTCCCATACACCTGCATCAGCCCCTCGCCTCTCGCCTCACAGCCCTCATCCCTCCCACTGCGGGGCTCGTGAATGAAAGTTAAAGCTTTGTTCTAGAAGGGCACTTATACTTTTTTGTGTCTACAATTTATGAATTTTGTCGTGTGCTATTTCGCTATTTACGTTGAACGACAATGGCCACTCGAAGAAAACGTTTGTGTTGCTTCACTACAGTCACTACAGAGGCAAGTTATTTTGTTCTACACTCATTGTTTTTAAGATGCAGATTTCTTTTCTTTTATGTGGCCTCGATTAATGTACGTATGAGGACAAGACAAGCAGCAAATAGCTATGTGAATAGCATCTAAGCTTACTCTAGTTTACGTAGCTAACTATTGTGTCTAAAACAAAACAATTTTAAAAGAAGCCAAAGATGTACATATACATGAATGACACTACAAGAAAAATCGCTCCAGTATATTAATATTATTTTTTAAATAAATAATTTAACCCCCGGTTAGAGATTATACTCGTATCAATCCAAGTTATGTCACAATATGCTGTGTGGCCTTTTAAAAGCTGCACTACTCTTCTGCGAGCATGAAATCCGCCAACACTCGTAGTAATAGCTTAATAGTATATCAGTCTTATTATATGAGTTGATAAGCTTAATCTTCTTTTACTAATAAAAGCTAAAGATCTTGTCGTTTTTGTTCGAACGTGTTAGTCTCAGAAACTGGTCGATTTGAAAAGATCTTTTTCTATGTCATAGCCTATTTATTGAGGAAGGTTAAAATGCTGCCCTTTGATGCAGTACGTAAATAAACTATGCGTCGCGGAGTCGGGGGCAAAAACTAGTGAAGTAAATTATTCTAATCAATAATTTATCATAGTTTATTAATATATTAAACGTTATTTAAATTAAATTCAACACGATTACTGACGTACGATGTAAATCCATGGATTTCATTGTAGAAGAGAAATAATAATAAATGACGACAACTGACAACGACATTAAATAGATAATATAAAAGATAATAAAATAGGTATTCACCTACTCGTACTATCATAATAGATTTAAATAAAAAATATAAAATAAAATTCACGTGTTTATTTGTTATTTAAGAATACTTTCAGTTAGATTATGTGGATGTTTGTACGATAAACAAAATTTGGACGCTGTGTTGCGGCATGACGTACGCTTGGTGCTTGCTTGTGGTAGCGGATTCGATGCCCGGGTGATGCACGATGCACGCGTGAGATGAATTTTAAAACATTAGCTCTACTCTGATTGGATATGGAGAATAAAGCCCTATCTCTATGGTTTTTTATAAAAAAGAGTTCCAAGGTACCTATAGCATAAGATAAGAAAAGTATAGAATATAAATATTTGTACCTAATCATTGCTAACTTATTATTATTATTAATTTATGTAGAGGAGGTACTTATATAATAATAATATAATAATAATAATCTTTAATTCAGGCAAAAACCCATAATTATCGCTGTGATATTTTTATTTTCAAATTAAAACACAGTAAAAGCACACCATATTTTTCAATGCTTTGTTTAGGACAATCTGGTTAAATTGCGAATATCAGCGAGGCAATTTCAATACTGTAAAAATAAATATGGGAAAATTTCAATTATTTTGTTAAACTTTTTAAAGAATAAAATATGTCTAAATATTTTATTAATTTGTTTTTGTGTGTTAAGCGTTATCTTCGCGAGAAAGATATATAAATAAGTGTGAGATGATTTTCATATTTTTTTCATATTATTCACTAAATAAATTGATTATATCTTATGGGTGGTTTCAGTTTACAATTTAAAAAAAACCCCAGGTAATGATGATGGTGAAGGTAGAATTATTTCTTTTTAAGTGATCTAGAAGTCGATGTGCCGGTATTGAACCCTTTTTAACGTCCCACTTCTGGGCACGGGTCTTCGAAAACTTGTTTAGTACTCTCAGACATATAAGTTTCCTCAAGATATTGTCTTTTACCGTAAAAAAAAGTGGTGACCGTGAAAATGATTCGCACATCATACATGATATCAAGTAATTCTCATATTATATCAGTATGTAGGACCTTTTTTTAATGTTGGGAAATGCTTTTACGCCTACCACACTATATACATACTGATACAGGTTATGCGGGACTCACCAGATTAAGAGAATTCTTAATGGGGCATGGCAGGATCGTTTACGCACTCAACCACGACGCTCCAACAGCAGGTCTGCCAAAGCAGACCACACACCAAGTGGCTGCTTCCACGGTCCGCTCTGCTGTCAGAGAAGTACCAGGAGCAACCCGCATGGTACACTGTCCACTGAAGTGGGCCATCTCCCAGAGTGTATCTCTTAGCTTCACGCCAGTCTGGATGCTAATGAGACCCCCCCCCCACCACCACTACAAGGTACATCAAGAGGGTTTAGTATGTGGGGCCTGAGTAAAGTAAAAGCAAGGCCTTTTTTAATAAATATTTGACTATCATATTTCATATAAAATTAATAGTTTTGAAATGTTATTAGTCAATATAATATTATTTGATATTCAAATCAAAATGCCACGTTCACCTTTCCACGCTTTGGGGCCAACCTGACACTGCTTCGGTTGAGTAGTGAATGGTGCTCTTTCTGGCTCGTTATGTATAGTTATAGTTTATGTTCAAACAATATCTACTCAATAAATAGCACTTTGAAATAGTTTTCATGAATGTCAACGGATATACAAATTCTTTTTTTACAGCAAGTGTTATGTATAAGTTATAGTAAATAGCATATATAACTTCTAAATTTTTTTGCACTTTTACTTGAGTAAAAGGAGAATCTAAGTGTTAAATTTTGATGCTAAGTTATGTTTCAAGTCAGAAAATTGACGTAGATAAAGTAATGTGTCCAGACGCTTTACGCGATACACGGTCACGTTGACTGAAGGGGAGTGGAATTCTAAATTCTAAAAATCTAGAATTAGTTATTTTATTGACTTTGGACATAATTGTTTAAATCACAATAATATTTATCAAGCCTGTAATTGGACCCAGTTATGCAAAAAACAGCCAAGCGCGTAAAAGTACCAACAGAGTTATAAGCATTTTATTATAAAAAATGAAATAATTATAAAAAATAAACAATACTTATATAAATATTGTTCAATTTTAAAATAACCAGAAAAACAAAACATACCCCAAGTGCAACTATCGACAGAAAAATTCTTATAATCCTGTTGGTACTTTTACGCGCATGGCTGTTTTTTACATAACTGGGTCCAATTACATTTTATCTAAGCGGTACATCAACATCCAGATCACTTTAATATAATTATAGCCATAACGGCTGATTTTTTCGAAAGTGAAATTTATATTGGTACCACGCTGGTACGACGCCTGGCGTGTCATTATAAAAAATCATTTAAATCGATTCACAATTATTGGCGTAATATACACTCGAATTGGGTCTATGTGTCCTGTTTGCAAATCGTTTAATAAAGGAGTCGTGGCACGCCCTCATTTCGATTCAGGCACCTCCCTAACTGTCTTTTTGTTACAGTTCAATACCCAATGGAATCATTTCAACTTTAAGCCCTATGAGGATTTCCGCCTCATACACCATCACATTACAAAACCCACATCACAGCAGTGCCATATAAAACTAGCAAGCATTAGACTTATTAGCATTTATAATATTACTAATCATAACTATTTATTTTAAGTATATCTACAACACAACAGAAAGGTCTAACAGCGTGTACTTTATATTCTTTAATGTTTTCCTCGAGAGTTTCCTTTGCTATATAAGAAGTGCCGAAACTTTATGCGGCAAACGATACCTAACATCTAGCGTAATAAATATATACATATGTATGTATAATTGTATATAGATGGTCGAATTGTTCAAAATTGGCTGAAAGCAGGTATCGAACCCGCAATCTTAAACCTTCTGTCGATAATGTTAACTTTCAACGTTATTGTACCTTGTATATTATTGTTGAACGTATATACATAATATGTTAGAAAATCGCTAGAACTTTGTAAGGTATTAACAACTAGAGCTCCAGAGCAAACTACATTTGAATTTTAAATTACACAAACTTGATTCACAACTTGCCTTTCGTTCTATTTACAGAGCGTTTTACCGAAGACTCGTTATTTAAATAGTTAATAGCTTACATATATAAACTTATTTATCATTCAATCTTGGTGAATACTATAGGGAAGAGCTTACTGTCTGTATGTTGGTAACGTCTATATGCAAATAACTTCCAGATATATATATATATATATATATATATATATATATATATATATATATATATATATATTGTGTTAGGTTATATACTTACAATAATTTTGATACTAATAACGTTCTTAGGTACATGAGGGTTTCAGACGAAGTATGTTAGTGCAGGCAACCTCAGCGGATCCCGCGATCGATATTACATTCGCTCCCCAACTTACCAACGACTATAATACCTTATTACATACATGATGCAGCTCACATATTTTTTTGGGAAAAATAAGTGGGAAATAGAGCTTGAGCTTAAAGCTTAAAGCTTTTAATGGCTTAATGGAACTAGACTTTACATTTGATTATATTGGAACTTCTGCCTAGTGAAATATGGCTATCACTAGCAGCCGGCACTGGCTTTATGTGTTTTTTCTTTTAATATTATGAGAAATTATAGTAAGCATATACAAGTTTAGCTGCCACTTTTTAACCCTTTAAGACTTAAATCACGGTTAAGTATATTTTTATTGGTAGGAATTTATATTGAGGGCACATAAGAAATGATTGAAAAATTGATAATATTTTATTATTTATTATTATTGGATGTGTCTGTACTCTGTATACAGTGTAGAGACATACCTACATATATAACATGGACAGATCGGCGAGCAGGAACTAGTCTATACATATAATAAAATTGTAACTAAGCGGAATCTGTACATTAGATATTTTTTGGAAAATCTTATTGAAATAAATATTATTATCGATATTATTACAGAGCCGAATCTATAGTTTTTAGAATTATTGTCTGTCTGTCTGTCTGTTACCGTATCACAGAAAAACCACTGGAGGGATTTTGATGAAATTTAGTATGGTGAGAGCTGGTTATCCGGGTCACCATATAAGATACTTTTTACCACGGGAAAATATCTCATTTCTGAGAAAAATACAAAAACTGCAATGTAAGAGTCCACTAACATGTAAAGCCTAAGAATTTGGTTTTTGGTTATCTGAACGCGGGCGGAGCCGCGGGCAATGCTAGTATGTAATATGACTGAAATCATACGCTGTTTACATAAAAAAGTTCATCTGAATTTCTCATTAAGTAAGATTAGAGTTTGGCTCGCGCCGTTTAATAAATATGATGGATTCATATACGAAAAAGATTATTTTTGTTCATGTCATTAATTTATAAAATACCTACCTAGTTACCCATTACAACATCTTGAAATCGATTTGTATCTACTTGTAAATATAGTATTAATTAAATGCTGTGTAAATATATGGATAATAATTTGATACATTTGACCACATCTGATGATGAAGTCAAGTGAAACCTTCGAGAGAGACCCATACATTATAGTCCATTAAAAGCTTGTTTTTTTTTAGTTTAGGTAATGCTGTTTTTGTCATACTGTATCTACATATTGTAAAAATAATTTACTTTTCTAAATGTGGCATTTTTTATTATGTTAATATGCGAACACAACAGATATTTATCTTGTTCAGAGTTTTATTTTTATTTTTTGTGATTTTCTTTTTTTTTGTTTTAAATATTTAGGTTAATAATATCGCGTTTAAAGTATATTATTTCCGTCTTCCTGTGCTCCGAGGTTTTTTTGGTGAGGTTGAGGTGAGTCAAAGATGTTAGCACGTTTTAATATAAATATATCATATTATAAAATTATCTATAATTATAATACACATTATTATCTTCTATTCATACAATAAACTTCTTACTGAGTCGAACCTGTACATTCAATATTTTTATAATACTTTTTACAATAATACATAGACACCGAGGCCGAATCTATAGTTTTAGAGTTTTTGTCTGTGTGTCTGGGAACGCATCACGAGAAAACCACTGGACAGATTTTGATGAAATTATCCGGGTCAACATAAATGATACTTTTTACTGAGGAAAAATATCTCATCTCTGAGAAATCTATGTATACTTACTAAACGTTAAAAAGTAAACCGAGCGGAACGAGGGTGAGTCGCTAGTCCACATATAAATTGAAGTTTTTTAAAAGTAAACATATGTAACTACAACTACCTATGTTTAAAATTTTGTATAGTACCTAAGTATTATCCGTAACCGTGCGAGCAATATAGATAATATTACGCCTTAGCAAATGGCATGGTTTACAAGCCAGATAGTAGCGGGTAGATGTTATCGAGGCAGGTGGCGGTGCAAGGAGCACCAAGGGCACTCCTGACGATCGATACTGCGCGCGCTCGCTTTGTATCAGAGTAACTGAACAGCATTCATAACTTTGTTATAACTATCTCTTAGAATACATTTCATTTATGAAATTTAAAATTATATTTACTAAAATATTTCTTTCTACTAAAAACTAAAAATAAATGTGTTGAGGTGAAAATTACTTAATAATATAAGTATTATACCTAAATGATTAATGCTATCCTGTGAATGTCCTTTTGTCACGTAAAGACGTAAACTACTTTTAATCCGGCAAATCAAATTGGTTCCGTTGAGAATATATATCAGAGAGTGGAAGGTAGGGCGGGCCACTTGTATTAAATATTTATATACCTACATTGTACATGTTACAACAACATATAAGCACTCTTAAGAGGAATGCAGCACCATTTCCAGATTTTTGCAGGATGGTCTCCAGAAACTATGGCAAGAGCATTGCCATATTTTTAGCACAAAGTAACTAGATAGCATAAGTATTTAGCACATAGTATTTACATACTAAATTCTCTAAAGAATATCACATGCCCTCACATAAACGGTAGACAATGCTTAAATAAAATTCACTCGACTCAACGCAGCGATAAATTCAACCAAATATAATATTTAACCTTCCGATATCAATTTGCAGGTAACAAATTGAAAAGCGGGACGTGGGCCGAGGTAAACCAATTTGGAGGGTGGGAGTGGGGGTTGGGGTGGATAGAGGGTTGCGGGGGTCCTCGGGGTCCTGGGGGGCGGGGCCAGCGGCCACCGGCTGCTGTGACCCGACATTGACCGAGTGCGTCATTCATGCACGCATGGCATATGCGATTCATGCACTAGGCTTCCTCATTGATCGGTATCGGCTCACTTGATGTACTCTATAGGTGATGATATCGTTATCTTATAGATGTAATGAAAACGTGTGTTTATTACTATATCTTTATGTCGAAGGTTTTTACACAGTAATGGAAGACAAGAAGAATAAGAGAAAAATACGTTAAAAACATCTTTTTGTATATATTTTAAATAAAACTGTTACTTTGTACCATTTTGTTGTTTTATTTAGATTTTTTGTTTCCGATAATTCGAATGCTTTACTGCGAATCTGTTCACGGGAGACACTAATACTTATTATTTTTTTAATTATTATAGACGGTTTGCCTCACAAAATTATACAATAATTTGGAAGAAAAGAGTAATAGCACCGAATTATAACTTAATAATCTATACATATAATAAAATTCTAACCGAGTTGAATCTGTACATTAAATTTTTTTTGGAAAATCTCATTGTAATAGACCTTATCGATACAGAGGCCGAATCTATACTTTTTAGAATTTTTGCCTGTCTGTCTGTGTCTGTTACCGTATCACGGAAAATCCACTGGAGTGATTTTGACGAAGTTTGGTATGATGATAGCTGGTTATCCGTGTCAACATATAGGATACTTTTTACTGCGGGACAACATCTTATCTCTGAGAAATCTATACTATACATTAAAACGTAAGTAGGGACGAACTCGAGCGGAGCGAGGGTGAGTCGCTAGTAATTAAATAATTCTTATTGAGTTTGTTATAGATATATAATACAATTTGAATATACATATTTAATTTGGGTTGACCTTTATCTGTGCCTTTACAATCTTAAAAATCATTTTGATTTCACATTAATAAGTAGGTACTTCCGGGCTAAGTCATCTGAAGAGAAGATATTCTCAAAAAACTAGCCTTTGGTGCCATTTTTCCGATGTGGCGATGCGGTCGTAAGATAAGTAAGGTCGTACACTTAAAAAAAGAATATTTATTCACTAGACTGTATAAAGGTATCAAATTTAAACTTATTTTGACCTTTTGTGACGAAAGCTCTTTTTAATCATATCAATAATTGTGATTTTCTGTCTCGGCTCTGAACCAATAGTAGGTAACTAGGTAGTAGTATTTTTGTGTATGTATTTACGTAACGAGATATCATCACCAAGGATAATCATATTTTTCAATAAATAGTTCTAAAGATGTCTTTATATTAATATAAAAAAATGTATTTCTTTATAAATTATTCGTTTATAAATTGTAAAATTGCAATTTTGTTTATTTATCATACAATACATAATACTAAACTTAGGACACTGTAATAAATTAGAACTAAATATATTGCTTCGTTTAATTCAATAATTCAAGTTTAGTTAGTGTGGAGTGGGCTTCAAAGCTTACGGAGTGAATGCTTTCCTCATGAATATTACATGGACCGGTCCTGATGTTAAGACCTTTGTCTCGCTTGGAATTTAATAGCTATTATTTATTATGCATATCATATTGCTTTGGTTTGAGTGTGATATCATATTGTTTGGGGCTCATTCGGGGAGTGGCCTTCGAATGATTAAATATATAGTTTCATTTTCTTTTCTAGGGATATATTATATCCTTATTATCTATACATATACTAAAATCGTAACTAAGTCAAATCTGTACATTAAATATTTTTTGGAAAATGTAATTAAAATAGACATTATTATTGATCCACGACAGTCCGAATCTATAGTTTTTAGAATTTTTGTCTGTCTGTCTGTCTGTCTGTTACCGCATCACGAGAAAACCACTGGACAGATTTTGATAAAATTTGATATAATGATAGCTGGTTATCCGGGTCAACATATAGAATACTTTTTACCGCGGGAAAATATCTCATTTCTGAGAAAAAATACAAAAACTGCACTATAAGATTATACTAATATGTAAAACCTAAGAATTTGGTATTTGATCATCTGAACGCGGGCGGAGCCGCGGGCAATGCTAGTACTATATAAAGATAAAAAGAATCTTAAGGTGTCATTCGTTTTTCTTTTTTTATACAAATAAATAAAACATTTGGTTAAGTGGCTAATGTATCGTGCTGCTTTCTACTACGCCAGCGGTGCAGATTCAATAAATAAGTAATCATAAATATGTTGGGACATTAACATACATCACCATCTAGTTCCATGGTAAGCTATGAGGCTCGTGTTATGGATACCCGATAGTTGATATACTAAACATATCACTTTAAATACATACATGTTATAAACTAGCGGCTCACCCTCGCTTCGCTCGGGTTCGCCTCTAGAAGAACGAAAACAACAAAAATAATGCGGATGCTATTATATGTATGAGGTGTATTATTGTAAAGTTTCATTAAAATCCATTCAGTAGTTTTTGCATGAAAGAATAACAAACATACATACATCTATACATCCAGACATCCATATATCCTCCCAAACTTTCGCATTTAGAATATTAGTAGGATGTAAGCAAAGGCGCAGGTTCAAGGTGAGTAAGAAGTCTGTATATTTACTTATATACAAACAGAAATTTTTTATATGTAGGTTGCTCTATATTTATAAGAAAATATGTTTGTTTCGGTAGAATTAAAATAAGGTATGTAGGTACTTAAGAATAAAATAATAACTGATGTAGTTATAGGCAATATATACATAATATTTACATAAATTACTTTCGATATTGATCCTCGTTCGTAGGAGATGCCCAAAGCCATGTAAGATATTTGTCTAAGTATTTATATCTGAATATTTGTGCTTGATGTAAAAAATATATGACAAAAAAACAAATCAAAAATATCAAAAAAGTATTTTTTTTTATTATTAATCTATATCACTAAATAAATCGTTGACGTCATTTCATTATGATGGACAGCTTATGGAGTTTATACATGTATCGGGGCGGTCTACCTACGAGTGTAACTGGTGCGAGGGGGCTCGTGAGTCGTGGCCGTGCGCACTAATCTCATTAGTACGCAATGCCGCAGTGTGTCGTTGGCGCATCCATGCAGATACTCTATCCAGTTCTCCATAATATGACAAAATTATATAACGCCTTTACTACTCGCTTGAGTATGACGTGATAGGTCAGGTTGGGTTGCACGTCTCTAGTACTGCATTTTGTAAGTACCTAGTCTGTGACTAGAGAGTAGAGAATGCTAAAATGTTTCATAGTTAGTTACTTATTTAGTTGTTTTTACCTTCTATCTATACATATAATAAAATTCTGAATCCAATATGTACATAATTTTTTTTTATATCTTATTGAAATAGTCATTGTCATCGATACAGAGATCTAAAATCTACACATTCGTCAATCTGTAGTTTTTAGAATTTTTGTCTGTCTGTTCTTCTGCCTATCTGGGAACGCCTCACGAGAAAACCACTGGATAGATTTTGATGAAATTTGGTATAATGTCAGCTGGTTCTATGGGTCAATATATAGTATACTTTTTTACTGCGCGAAGATTTCATCTGTGAGAAATCTATACTAATCGTTAAAACGTAACTAGGGATGAACTCGAGCGGAGCGAGGGTGAGTTGCTAGTTTTTATATAGATATTTTTTATGTATATTTTTATTAGATATTTTAATGCAAATATATATGCGTATTCCATTTGGCCAAAAATGTTTTTATATGTTTTTTTATTAATTGTTTTGTATAGCAAAAATTATCCCTACAAAACTCTCTTAAAAGTAATAAAACATATATATTTGAGAAGCAATTCACATACATAATTGTTCTTTTTGATCGCACTAATAGTAGATGTGTAGTAAATAGATAGAAAGAAATACGACAAAGTGTAAGACGTTCTTCTAACAGCAAGTATAAAATTAAACGCGCCGGAATCGTTAGGAAAACGTTCACTCCTTTTATTTCCATTGGTTTATTTCCGCCGCCTCGAGGAAAATAATGTTACTTTCAATTTACGTCGATTGCTGGATAGTCGATAGGTTTTATCTATACATATAATAAAATTGTAAATAAGCCGAATTTGTACATTAAATGTTTTTGGAAAATCTTATTGAAATAGACATTGTTATCAATACAGAGGCCGAATCAATAGTATTTAGAATTTTTGTCTGTCTGTCTTTCGGTTACCGCATCACGGAAAAACCACTGGAAGGATTTTGATGAAACTTGGTGTGGTGATAGCTGATTATCCGGGTCAACATATAGGATACTTTTTACCGCGGGAAAATATCTCATTTCTGAGAAAAAATACAAAAACTGCATTATAAGAGTATATTAATATATAAAACCTAAGAATTTGGTTTTTGGTCATCTGAACGCGGGCGGAGCCGCGGGCAATGCTAGTAGTTTTATAAGTGTCCGTTGTTTCACGATTCTGAAAACCCTCCTTATTTCATTTGTGTATACGAACATACAGACTTGTAATATATTTAGTTATTTAATTAAGTGCAAACGGTTAAAGCTGTACATTACTTTTTTGTGTTTGTACTCTAATGAAAGTGAAGGTCACAGTTGAAAAATATTCATAATGATAATTAATACCAAGCTAAAATCATCGAACTCTTCCTGATTTTTTCTATGCCTCTATACGGACTTCATTTCTTAAATAAATTAGTTTTATTCTATCACTATATCTATTCCTCGCTTCCCTCTAAAAAAACAAAAACAAACCTATCCCACGGACCCGTATATTTTCCGGGATAAGAAGTTGCCTATGTGCTATTCCAGACTATAATACATCTCTATGCCAAATTTAATCCAGATCGGTTAAGCCGTTCTGGCGTGATTGAGTAACAAACATCCATCTAAAAACTCACATTTATAATATTAGTAGGATTAGTATGTAAGATTACAATAGTATAGAGAATGAAACAATATATTTTCATGGAAATCCGATATGGTATAAAAATTGTGAAAATGGCTTCTACATACGAGTATGAATAAATTAGGTATTTCTATAGTGCAGCGAACAAAGGCGATATATTCGTGACTTACAGCTCGCCAGTGTGAACAAAAAGATGAAAAATGACGTACTCCGTGTTGTTGCGGGTTTCCCAAAGTCACACAAAGACTTGGTGGGTTTATTAAATTCAGAGCACGCGAGCGGAGCACGAACCGTACTTTTATAATACGGATATTTTTATTAGATATTATTTGAGTTAAGTTGTGAAAACATTCATTCTCACTTATATTATAAGTAGATATGTGTGTCTGTTTGTTACCTTTTTTTAAAACATCTGCATCAATTTATATGAAATTTCCCATAGAGATAGACGATAGATACTAGTATTATCTACTTATGATCTATACTTAGTACAATTTCTTGGAGGTGGGCGTTACTGGCTACACCATAGTTTTCAACTAATATAGTCTACTAGGATTGCCCACGGCTCCGCCCGCGTTCAGATGACCAAAAACCAAATTCTTAGGTTTTACATATTAGTATACACTTACAATGCAGTTTTTGTATTTTTTCTCAAAAATGAGATATTTTCCCGCGGTAAAAAGTTTTATATGTTGACCCGGATAACCAGCTATCATCATACCAAATTTCATCAAAATCTGTCCAATGGTTTTCTCGTGATGCGGTGACAGACAGACAGACAGACAGCCAGACAAAAATTCTAAAAACTACAGATTCGGGCTCTGTATCGCTAATAATGTCTATTTCAATAAGATTTTCCAAAAAATATTTAATGTATAGACTCGGCTTGGTTACAATTTTATTATATGTACCTATAGATATCATTTAATCTATAATGTAACTTTTCACTTTGTTCCAATAAAGTTTTCCTTTTTACAGAAGATCGAAATGTGTAAATTTCTAACAAATACTAAAAATAGATGAAAATTCTAATATTACCAAACTAAAATCAATCTGTGAGATAAATTAGTGTAAAATGAAAATGTAGCGACTCACCCTCGTTTCGCACAAATTCATCCCTAAGTTCGTTTTGACGCTTAGTATCTGTGGAATAGAATTTTTTCTTCAATTTTATTTTCGTGAAATTTTCCGATGTTATAATAGTTATAATTCGGGGTGAAGACATATCTAACAAAACAAAAATCATAAAAATCAGTCGAGCAGTTTTCGAGTTATAAGTGTTGTAACAAACCCGACTTTGTTTTATATACGAGTATATAGATGAATGAATGAGGCAAAATTAATGTTCCATAGATAAAGTGATTCCGTGATAACAGATTAAAATATAAAAGTTAGAAAATTAACCGCACTAAAAGAGAGTACGTGTATTTCGAGATGACACGCAATGTATGTCATATCGAAATATATATCGACTTTTCGTTTTGTAGCAGTCGACAGAGTTGTAAGATTTTGCTAGTACCTAATAATATAGTGCACAAGTCCTCCTTACACTCCCAATTAATATTTGCTTAAAACTTCGCCATATACGAGAATATATAGAGGAAACTCAACCTCAAACGGACTTAGTTAAATGTTTTCTATATAAATAAACGCCTTTCATAGCGTAGTTTTTAATAGTTCAGCTTTCATATTCAAGCTCTACTTCCGAAATAAAAGCTCCACTCATGTGTACGTTTTTCATAATTTTTAAATAAAACTAGTAAATTAGAAAGCTTATTTTGTTTTATGGAGACTTCCATATTTAAAGAAATGAAACAAGAGTTAAAATCAATTAATTAAAAATAAAAAGTATTATTCATTAGCAGTGAGTCTAATGGCATTTCCCATCAACAATATACCTACGAGTAGGTCATATTTATATCAATATGTTGAAAAATGAACAATATTGAAAAATGACAATACAATCTTCCACACAAACTTTCCTCCTTTTCCTTTAATTATACAGATCTTAAATTGTCTAGAGAAATTTATATCTATACATAAGTATAATAAAATTGCCACAAAGCCGACTCTGTACATTAAATATTTTTTGGAAAATCTTATTTAAATAGACTATATTGGAATAAGCTGTAAACGCGAAGTGAATAGTATTACTAAGAGGTACATCACTAGCTGGTACTGACTCATTATTAGGTACGTACTATATTGGGACCGTTGAAGGACTAAAACACAAGTTCTTGGGGTGAAAAAATGTATCTACATCTATACTAATATTATAGAGGTAAAGTTTGTGAGTTTGTAACGTGGTGAGTTTGTGACGTTGTAGAGGGTAATCTCAGAATCTACTTAACCGATTTAGATGAAATTTGGTAAGAAGATAGTTTGAGACCCTGGAAAGGACATAGGATACTTTTTATCCCGGAAATCATCCCTTAAGGGAGTGAAAATGGGGATGAATGTTTGTATTAATAAGCAAGCTAGTCTTTAATAGTTCTTCTTAGTTTTACTGCCAGAATCCGTAGCTGAACGAGGCCAGAACGCGTTCAATCTACAAAAAAAAACTGGCTTTATATTATACAGCTATGTATTTATATAATATTGTTCATAAAAAATACTAAACTCACAATTAAAAAATGGGGGGTGTGGGTAGGATGATGAAAAATACTTTACGACCTATTCTCATACCTATCAAATATATAAAAAAATAATTATATATGAGCCGTTTCGGAGGAGTGCGACCACAAACACCGTGACAGGAGATATTTATACTTATATTAGAAGATATTTATAGTCCTTAATAAATAAAGATTATACACGTATTTTGCTCATACAATAAAACGTAGTAATTGTGTAGACGTGGATTGAAATATTATGGTCCTCTCTGACCTTGCGCTCGGGGATGGCGCCGCATGGTGCAGTCAGCAGGAAATGCTTATTTATATAGCTTCGTGCCCTTGCTAAACGATTATCGTGACAAAATGAACGGTATATCTAATGGTACATCATTTCACGCAGATTTCAAAATGTAGGTATGATAGCATTTATACTTAATTAGGTACATAACATTATTTACTTACGTCGGACGTGTTTTTTTTACTTTATTAACTTAGGGAACCATGTAGTTATTTCTAGTGAAATTTTCTGACTTATATAATATGTATTTATTTCATTTTTTAAGTGTTTTAAAGGTTTCGTACTATCCAATATCTCACTTGTATCTGTCTGTGAGCTTATTTTTCCTAAACTTGACTGAAACTTAATATTTACTGGAATCGAAAAATTAAAATTATTGAAGTATGTACAGACCAATACGTATTTTATAGTAGAAAATTATCTTATAATAAAGTGCAGAGAATCCTTTCTCAAGCTTTTATTAGACATATTAATTCGTTTTTTAACCATAAATCATATCTTCTAAGTCTAACGCCATCTTCCGACTATTTTTAAATTCTCATTGTAGTGTTGCATGAAGCATTTTTAAAGATAGCTCGTAATAAAAGTAATTATATTTGAAATATTATAATTTAATTGAAAATCATTTCTAAATTGTTGCTACAATATGTAATTTGAATTTTTTGTCCATAGAAAATAATTGATTTATGAAAATTACAAATTCTAAAATAGCATACGTAAAACGGAATGCTTCATATCAAATTCACACCCGATGTCATCATGTGTCAAATTTGGCCTTCAATTACTGGGGATTCTCGCAATTTGTGAGGGTTTTGCAATGTTCGAGTGAAGTGATACACACGAAATCGATGCTGTGACAACCGACACACTTGCTCGTGTTAAAATGACATCGAGAAGTAAAAATGCTGTACGGAGTTACGAGGCCGAGATCGAAAAGAGTCGGGAGGAGTCCAATTGGAAGAAGGCTGTGGACTTAGCTCAGCAACTCAAGGCCAGGTCGCCTCAGCATGGTGAGTAATTCTACATGCATTTAGTTACTTAAGCACATTATAATTCTTCATTGCTATTAAAAGTTGTAAAAGATGTATGTTCATTCAAAACTTGGATTAATCCAAGTTTTGAATGAAAGTACATCATTTACTTCTTTAAGTATTATTAATGTTGTTTGTACCTCACTAATGTATGAATTAAATTTATATAACTCCATACAATTTTTATAAACCCTTTAAAAATCAGTGATGCCAAATGGATAGGTATACTTATGTTTCTTATCTCTTTTATAGTTATAGCAATGATTATAAACTATAATATATTGCTATTATCTATCCTTTTGCTTAAATAAAATAATTAAATAAAAAAAGGACAAGTTAATAACTTTAAACAATATATAAAACTTTAAGCATCTTTTATTTGCACATTAGTAAAATATATTTTTTGTTTTATAAATTGTGTGAAGTTTGTTAACATTTATAAATAGTACTTATTTTCTCACATTTACATAACTGGGCATTATAAAAACTCAGGATTTGGTTTTTATATATTTATAAAGTAGTTTGGTTTGTAATTGGTATATATTTTATTAATTAACAAATTTTGTAATAAATGTATATATTTTATAAATTATTTATTGGGTGTTATAAGTTTGACGTGTCTGTGTGTGTCTCTGTCTGTGACATCGTGGCTCCCAAGTGGATGAACCAATTATGATTTTGGTTTTTTTTTGTTTAAAAGGTGAATTAGTTGGGAGTGTTCTTAGGTATGTTTGATGAAAATAGTTCCAAGACGGTCAGGAGTTTTTAAATTTTTTAATTTAATTACATAGGTTCATTCATGTACTTTAGATATTGCTTAAACTATAATAATCAGGTAGTCAGGTCGTACTTTATTTAATCACTATTTACCTGATAGTGTTTAAATTTACCTGAGAGGCTAAAACTGTATCTATTGACTAGATAAAATATTTTAAATACAGTAAAAAAAATTCTGTAATAAGAAATTACACATAAATATTACTGAACACTCACATTGAAGTACATTCTTTTAAATAAGTAAATGACATTAATAAACAATTTTTTTTCAGAAAGCCTTGCACACTTTCTTATTGGAGAAGGTAAATTGGAGGCATATTTGGACGAATGGCCACCAATTAAAGAAAACATTGAAAGGGCACAAAGGGAACTATCCGATGCGAGAGGCTATTTAACACTAGCTACAGATGAGTTAGGCAAAAAGGCTGGAGTTGCATTAGATGCTCATTTGCTATTGGGCAAACTAAATTATGCATGTGGTGCATATGATGATGCACTAAAAAATTATAAACTTGCGGAGTTAAGCACTTTAACTGAAAAGGAGTTACCTGTGTAAGTCTGTTTTCTTTAAATTACCAAAATAATTCTGTTAATTTATTTTTACTAGTAAAATTATTTAACACCTCCTGGTAAAATTCTAAGAAATTAATTAAAATTCTATGAAATCTATTGTTAACTGACACGCCGGCGTGTCCGCGATCGTGGAGGGATAAATATTGAAAAAAACATTTTATTACTACGCTTCCATCAGGTTGTCAGGTCACGTCAGGTCGTCCCTAGGTTGATTCCTCATAAAAAATTCTTCACAATTTTCACTTCCTTAAGGGATGATTTCCGGGATAAAAACTATCCTATGTCCTTCCCAGTTTCTCAAACTATCTTCTTACCATATCTAAATTGGTTCAGTAGTTTCGGAGCCTATTCAGAACAGAGAAACAAGTAAAAAATCAAATCTTTATATTGTTTTGGATATTTGAAAACTTTTGGTAACTTTTGAAAATGTAACACTTGAGAACACGAAAGTTGCTAATTTAAAATAGGGGTGGAAGTAAGCTAAAGAACATTCATAGTTGTTATTTATATTAATTTCCTGCTTATTTAGAAGCCCTGTAATATGATTAATATGGTTTTGTTGTTCTGAGTATAATGGGATTAGACAATTTCTAATTTACATGTATTCAATTTACTTTGATGGTCATTCATATATGTTATTTATTTTTTATTTTACAATATTTATAATAATTTAAAAATATAATCATAGTCGCTCCCGCTGTTCGTACGCTTATATCTTTTAAACTACGTAAAAGCCTGTTAATGCAGTTTTCAGCAATAAATAGAGTTAGGTTAGAGGAAGAATAGGATAAGAGGAAGGTTTATATGTATATTACATGTTATTATATTCATTCTAACCGATAAAACGTACCTAGCGAAGCGAAGCGAGGGTGAGTCGCCAGTAGGCTGTAAAATACAAAAATAATTTTTCTAATCAGAGAAGTGCCAGACTTCTAGAATTATTGTTTTAACAAACAAAATAAAAACAACATCCTTCAGTTTTATGCATTAGTATAGATATCAAACATTTCCCATTTTTTTTAAACATTCACTATACAACTTTGACCTGTTTTATTATATGTACATACTGGCGACTCACACTTGCTTCGCTCGGATGCGTCCCTAGGAACGTAGTGTTGCTATAGTTTAAGGTCTTTTTAAGAGTAATAATTCCGTAATATATTGTTCTGATATCTATTGGTTTACGCGGAGCACGCGAATAAAGCCCCCAGTCGGCTTGATTTTTTCCGACATCTTCTACAGTCATCGTCATATTTCAGCCAATTTACACATAAACCTTCCTCATGACTCACTATGTCAATTGGTTAAAACCGTATGAAAATCCGTTCAGTAGTTTTTGAATTTATCGCGTTCAGACAGACTGACAGAACTTTATAATATGTAGTGATTATTAAATGCATTATATCACTTACTATACGCATGCAAGCTCTGCAACAAAAATAATTGCCTGTCTAAATAATTAGTAACCAGTGCTGACTCACTCTCGGTTGCATGTAGCTTTAATTATCTATGGATATACCTACTGCAGTATTTTATTGACAATTTTTATACATACATGCCATTTTAGTACTCAGTACTTCATTGTCTAACTTTGTTGCTGATTTTTTTTATAGTTTTTACACGACCTTGAAATAATACAATGAGTGATTTTGTATGAAAGGTGAAATATAAAAAAATATATTATCTTTTATGTTAGGACGTTAGCATTAATTATCCAAATAAAAAAGCAAAACAATATTAAATATTTAGTATTGAATGTAATAACAATATGCAATCAGTATTATTACTCTAGAGACATAATTTTCTGTAATACCCGGTGTATTACAACTATTATAATTGTAATTTACTAAATGGCCAATATCGGGGGGTACGGCAGTGCCCCCGCCAAGTCGAGCAAACAAGTCGAGCAAAAAAGGGCACGGCAGTACCATCCTTTTCTCGAAGCGATTCAGAGCATTTTCCACCCCCCCATAACTTCGTTATGGATAAAGCTAGAAGCTTGAATTTTGAGTGACTAAGAGAACATAATAAAACTATCTTTTCGGATTATTTCGCGGATTTATTTCGATTTTTGGTTCCCGACGTTTCGAATGCTTTACAGCATCCATGGTCACGGGAGAGACTGAGGTGTTACATGTCTTAAAGATATAGTTGTTACAGACAGCCTACCCACAATTAACAAAATGAAAATTGCACCAATTACATTGCAATATTTTTAACTTTAAACATTTTTTATAATTTTAATTATAATTGAATATGGAAAATTATTTATTTAATTTTTGCTATTATTTTTATAATTATTACAATTTTAAAAATATTAATTAGTAATCTATATTTAGTGTTGCCATTATTATATTTATAACCATAAATAAAAATATAAAAATATAGTATTAATTATTAAAGCCATTATTATTATCCGTAATTAATTTTAACTTTTTAAATTACACATAGAACAATTATATGGCTTTAATAATTAATACTATATTTTTATATTTTTATTTATGGTTATAAATATAATAATGGCAACACTAAATATAGATTACTAATTAATATTTTTAAAATTGTAATAATTATAAAAATAATAGCAAAAATTAAATAAATAATTTTCCATATTCAATTATAATTAAAATTATAAAAAATGTTTAAAGTTAAAAATATTGCAATGTAATTGGTGCAATTTTCATTTTGTTAATTGTGGGTAGGCTGTCTGTAACAACTATATCTTTAAGACATGTAACACCTCAGTCTCTCCCGTGACCATGGATGCTGTAAAGCATTCGAAACGTCGGGAACCAAAAATCGAAATAAATCCGCGAAATAATCCGAAAAGATAGTTTTATTTAATAATGTCAAACATTCGCGTAAATCTAAGAAAGTATTATAACATAATAAAACTAGGTACATTTCCAAATTACATTCAATTTGAACCTGTAGTTTATGAACTGTTGCAGATCAAAATTCGTTAATATCGTCACTCACTCACTCACCGATCATCAAAATTCTAAGGTACTTCTAGCAGACATAGAAGCTTCAAATTTTGAACACAATTAGTGTTTACCTTATAACCCAAGGAAAAATTCAAACATCACGAAATTTCATTCCTGTTTTCGAGATATACAACAAACTGCATAAGTAACTTTGTAATCCTATACAAATAGATATGCGATATATGGGATTACAAAGTTACTTTTGCAGTCCATACATATAATAATTGTCGTCACTTAAACGACCCAAATGGATAGCTAGGGGAATAGTGGATATACTGTAAGTATTAGTGACGACTAAAATGTAATTATAACTATTGTAAATAGTTTTAAGGAAAAATATATTTAATATATAAATTAATACATTTATATATAAGATCTCAAATATAAAAAAATATATATGTACAACTAATCGAACACTCGGGTGTTTCCGTAGCGAGAATCGCTCTGTGCGTTATCACCTTGGGGCAATACCGCAGCGAGAGCCGCTCTCAGTTGTGTATATAGATTTCAAATATAAAAAAAATATATTCGCAAACACCAGCACCAGCAACAGCAGTCATGTGTAGCCTCCCGGGAGTCCCTGATTTCCTGGAGCTACTAGATATTAGGTTTTTTGCATAAAAATCTTATATGAGGATATGCAATTCACAGCTTAGAATGTCTCACTCAGAGGTTCAGTCAAAACTATTATTATTCATACGCTAAAATCCTTTTAAATTAAATTTTTAAATATTCCTTATAGGTTATTATATAAAATTATAATACATAATTGATATACATAATAAATATTGTTGTGGTAGTACAGAGCCCTCGGATCGTGAGTTCGACTTCTACTTGACTAATACAAATATGTATTTGTCAATATTTAGTTTAGTCATGTTAAAAAGAGAATACACAAATAAATCATGTTTTATTTTATTAATTATTTATTTATAAAGTAGTATAATCGATGCTATAGCAATAAATGAATTAAGAACACTGAATTTATAAGTGCATAATTATATCAGATGAACAAGAAAGCTTTTACTATGCACTGTAAGCCACATCCAATTTATAGTATTTGTTTCCCAGGGTCCCGTTTGCCATCACTAATAATAAGTATTTAATTTGTTTAAGTAGGTATTTTTTTATTTAATGATGTTGTTTTTATACTTTAAAATAATAGTTAACAATAAAATAGACTTAATTGAAATATTTTGACATAAATAAACATCATAGCCATGGATGACAAATAAAAATCATAGCTTTACTTATTTTGTGTCGTTGATGTCAAATATAATTTCGTTCAAAAATCATAAAATATTTTAATTTTATAATGTTTCCTCTTACTATTTAAATTAAATATTATTTACAATAACCGATATCTTACTTTTAGTTTTTTCACCTCATTCACATGTTCTAATAAATTTTACCATAAATAAACGATTAATTTAACAGTAAATCAATTAGTTATACGATACTTGCAATGTAAAAGGAGGTTAGGTTAGTGTTTAACCTGTATGTATGTTTGTATGTTCGATCCTATGTTCCCTCGTAATTACTAACCTAATCACTAATCACGATTTTTCAGTAGCTGTATACATTTCTATGCATATACAAATGGGTACATAAATACAACGTGAAGCGTGTATAGTGTATACCTACTAATATTCGATTACCTGTTATTTATAATGAATTTATTAAATTATATACCTAATTACGACAAAACTTGACGATTACTTAATTTTGAAACAAAGCTCGTATATTTTCTTTTACAAAGTATGATGTTGATATGAATTAGAAAACTTGTCAACATTTCATTGCACGTAACTGTACCCACCTACTAGAACATGGATTATAGAGGTCATGAAATATCAATCCCTTCGAAAATTACTTTTAAAATGGCCAATGGAATCAGTGAATGAAGTCGGTTGGTAACCTTAGTTTTCTATTAAACTGCATCAAAATTAACTGAACAAGCAATAATAATTAAGTATAACAACCTTCGGGATTTACCTACGATGCCGCAGATAGACACATAAATCTACACGTTTTATTAATCTTACGCAAGTTCAATATCAGTATCGGGGTAGGTATTTAACAATGAAATTAAAATATTTATTAAATTAACTATACATATTTATACTTAATGCATAAGATAGTAGTATTAAAAGTCAGGAATCCGCAATTTCCGAATACAATAGACTTAGATTTTTTATCATCCAGACTTGTCATAATTTATTATATAAAAGCCTCTGAAAAAAGCCCACAGAGTCAAGGAGTGGGCTTTTAAAAAGTCCTTAGTTAATGCACAAGAAATAGTACAAGAAAAGAGAAAAAGAAGAAATATTTACAAAAAGAAATGAGATCCCATCAAAAACATACTGTAAAAATATGCAAGTCTCGCAATGCATTTCTTCTACCGCAAAAAGCTATGAGATATCATGTAAAACCAAGTCGGTTAATTTATTCATTACCTATCTATGGAAGCATCTATCCGACAACTTTGTCATAAATCGTTACCGAATTAGTTAAGTTGCAACATTTTATAGTGACCGTATTAATATTAGATATATTTATTTCTTTAATTAATGGAATGACTTGGCCATCGAATAGTATTAATAATAGTATTAATATTAATTCTATAATTACAATTATAATAGTTGTAATACCCAGTGTATTACAACTATTATAATTGTAATTTACTAAATGGCCAATATTACTTTGACGGAGTTCTATTAATGTTTATTATGGTGATTTTATTACAATGTATCCTTGTATTTATAACTTCTTGCATATAATCAATGGAATAAGGGCTAAAGTTTTTAATGTGGGAAGTATGGCCTGATCCCCCTCGTATTGAAAGGAGGCCCGTGCCCAGCAGTGGGACGTTAAATAGGGCTGAATACAAGGAATAAATAATTAAAAAAAAATTGATTAATTAATAAAGAAAATATTAATGATTATTATTATTTTCGTTCCAGGCGGAGTTTACGAATAGTAGCAGAGTCGTACGCAATCAAAGGACTATGCCTCGAACAAACGATGGTACCGAGTTCCACGAGTCGATACAAACAAGCTGAGAAGGAATCTGAAATGGTAATAAAATATACATTCACTGTGCTTTATTAAAATCTTTATTAGTTAGTACACCATAGGGATATAATTGATGCTCCGAAATTTGTAAGGTATTAAAAAAAATGATAATTTTGACTTGTGTTGACATATTTTTATGATACGGCTATGGTGTCAGTATAAAGTATTAATACGTCATATTAATTAGTGTCTAATGGCTGTGTTTATGAAAATACTACTGCCTTGTTTTTGTAGCACCTAACGGCTAGCATAAACGGGCGTAGATCTGGAGAGATCTTGGGTTCAAGAAATTGTCTAAATTATTTTACTGTTTATCTGTCAGCTGTATCATTCTGTTCAGAGTAGCATGCGTGTACACTTGTGCACTACAGCATGTCTTGCGCCCATAATATAAGATTTTTCTTTATTTTATTAGTCCCAGTGAGCCATTAAACCTTTAATTGTGATGATGAACAATGTGTGTCTCCAGATCCGCAGCTTCGAGGTGTCGTCGGAGCTGAGCCTGCTGTACCTGCAGCGCGCGGGCGCGGCGGCGGCGGGCGCGGCGGGCGCCGTGCTGGAGACGGCGCTGCAGCGCGCGCCGCTGCTGCACATCCGCGCGGGCCGCCTGCAGGCCGCCATCGACAGGTGAACTGCTCTTTATACCAGCGACTCCCAATTTTTTTTGCCCACATATTGATCATATTTTTGAAGTAAAACTTCTGCACGCACGCTTAACTTGGGGGGTAAGCTGGTGAATGCGTTACGAAAAGTGTAAATCGGGCGAGGCGAACGTTTGTTGGTAACCGTTGTTATTGTCTTACAAATGATATATAATATTATATTCTTTCTATAAATGATATTCTATAAATATATGATTGTAATACCTCTCCTATCCTAATTATTTAAAACATAAATTGAATTTCATAAAGAGTACCGATAACCTACAGAAGTTTTACTTCTTGCGCGTGTACACATTCATACACGCACTATTTAATAATTTTTTAACGGATTCTCATTTTGATAATAATTAAACTGATTGTGTTGTAGTTTGAATACTTTCTTGTTTGATTTGAAAGAATAAATCATAAATGAAAAATATTAATACTTATAATAATTTTTATTGTACCCAAAATATAATGTAAATATTTAATAGTGATGAATGAGATTTTTTCACATATTTATAATATTAAAATTAGGTTTCATCTCTGACAACATTTTAATGAATTCTCGGACGGAACTCGAAACCCCTGTAACCCTTCCGAAACCGCTGCCTTATACTGTTGTATATGTTATAGTCCAAACACTTTTCTAGTCAAAGCTACTTTTGACTAGAAAATATTGGTCATTTTTGATTGATATTGTCCAAGATAGTTATATCAAAGATGTATAACTTTCTCGGTTAATATCTATATATACCTATTGTATACATAATAGGTACTTTCTTAGATTTATGCGATTACATTTTTTTTCTCGTTAACTGATATCTTAATTACAAATTTTTTAACGAATAACTTCTATCTAATGTGACTGGAAATAGGACTACTTAAATAAATTAAAAAAGTTATCCTCTTAAAAATGAAATTGTTTTTTTTAGATTTTTGGCGGTTTTCCTTTGGTTTTTGGTTTCCGATATTCCCAACGTTTTACAGCAAATATGCTTATAAGGAGAGACTGTGGTTTTTGATGTCTTAAAATTACCCAAATAGAAACCAAAATTAAAATTAAAGAGAGAGAGAGAAAGAGATAGAGAAAATACTAAAAAAATATTTTTATAAAAAATGTAAAATATTCGTGTAAATGTAATAAATATTAAAAATAGTATAAGCGCTAGTATCATTTGAGAGCTACAATGCCTTGCTCTGCGCAGGTACCGCGAGATGCTGACGGCGGTGGAGTCGGCGGCCACGCAGGCGCTGCGCCTCACGCTGGCGCGCCAGCTGGCCGAGGTGCTGCTGCGCGGCGTCACCGGCCAGGTGCGTGCTCGCTGCTTGTTCTGTTCACACGGGATACGTTGAGTTATAAATTCAATAAGTAATAAACAATAGACATATTTCCTATTTCTAATTAGTGTGATATTGCTAGGAAATTTTGATGAGTTATCTTTGTGTGTTCATATTTTTAGAATTTTTATTATAATAATTAACATTGCTCGCATCTTTAATTTATTAACGTCAATTTTGTTTAAACATATTTAAGAAGTTTAAATGAAATTAAATTTTATTAGATATTTATTCTACTAATAATTATAATATATTATGTAGTTTTTTATTAGTGATCTCTGAATCTCTGAAACTACTTGGATCAGAACCATCCATCTCATTAATCTTAATATAACATTGAATTACTTTTTTTAACTACCTTTTTAGAGCTTTTTTGGTTGTTTTAGCGCGAGTAAAGCTGCGGGTTCATGTATGTATGTATTCAGCCCTTTTTAACGTCCCACTGCTGGGCACGGGCCTCCCTTCAATACGAGGGGGATCAGACCATAGTCCACCACGCTGGCCAAGTGCGGGTTGGCGGACTTCACATGTCTTTCGAAAACTTGCTAAGTTCTCTCAGACATGCAGGTTTCCTCACGATGTTTTTCCTTCACCGTAAGGCAAGTGGTAATCATGTTAGAAATGATTCGCACATGAAAATATCAGTGGTGCGAGACCCGGGATTTGAACCCGCTTCACTCGGTTTCCCAAGCAAGCGCGTTACCACTGGGCTACCACTGCCTTTTAGCTGCGGGTTCGGCTAGTATTAAATAAAACCTCGTGTAACTACAGGTGTACAAGGCGCCGCAGGCGGCCGTGGCGCCGCCGGGCACGCTGTCGCGGCGCCGCGAGGAGTACGTGTCGGAGGGGCCCTGGAAGCCCAAGAAGTACGCCGGCATCAACCAGGTGCGCTCGCTTGTACAGCACAGCATATTTGAACAGCAATATTATAGCGAATATCATAATTGAATTATAATTGTTTAATTTAATTTTTTAAATGACATTTTTTCTAGTTGCTCCCTTTAAATAAATCTTACGTTTTGTTGGTAAGATTTGTAGGAAAATATGGAATTGTTTAGTCTAGTCAACAAGTGCTTTTTGGGTCAAACTTTTTTCTCCGCCTGCGAAAAATATTAACGATGTGTCATTCGATTTGGAATAGCGTGTACATGATTTTTGAAAAAAATCAAGAGCCGCTTGCAAAAATTGCTAAAATTATAAACAATTAATTGAAAAAAATGGGTTTTGGATTTTTACATATATCTCAAAAACTATTTGACATTGTTTAATTTTGAAAACAGTTTCATTCAGTAAATTTCCCAAAAAAATCTCACGGAACTGTAGAACCAATATTTATAATTTTCCCAGAGGGTTGAAAATACGATCGAAAAGTGGGACTTTGGTTTGCGTAACCTACGCCCACTTAGGACCTTTAATGAATGAATATTATTTAAACTTATTAAATGTGAAAATTAAGAATTGAAAAAATTTAGACATCTACTGGATTGATGAATGAACAATAATATTCCGCGGTTAATTATCTCTTATATTATTAAAAAAACTATCGCGATTTTTTTATTAATTATGCATTAGTTAATTAACATTTTTTTCCTACTTGAACATGAACATTGCAAGTGCGATAATTGTTAAATAACAAATCTGACATTTTTTCCTTTTTTTGGAGCTATTTTTGAAAGGTCTCAGAAAAGATTCCTGTTGGAAAAATTAAGAAATGTAATTTTTATAAATACCAATATACTTTCGTGACGCGGTTAGTTCGTGCCGCGCAACGAGTACGAGGAGGCGCTGCTGCTGCTGCTGGTGGGCGAGGCCATGGCGGTGCGCGACGCCGTGCTGTCGCAGAGCGGCGAGTTCCGCGCCGCGCGCGAGCACTCGCTGCGCTGCGCCGTGGCCGTGGCCGACCTGCTGGCGCTGCTGGCGGCGCGCTGGGGGCAGCACCGCCTGCTGCTCGAGGTCACACTGACACATTCCTGGACTAACTGTTGAAATTAATTATTCTTTAAATTATTCGAGCTACTGGAGGCAGTAATTTAACAGATTTATTTAGTTCTTAAATACCTACTTTTTAGTACAACAAATTATTATCACGATATAGCCTATGTAACCTATGTATCATCTATAAATACAATAAAATTATGAGTCAAATCTGTACAGTAAATATTTTTTATAAAATTTTATTGAAATAGTCATTATTATCGATCGATACAGAGGCCGAATCTATATTCTTTAGAATTTTTGTGTCTGTCTGTTTGTCTGTCTGGGAACCCATCACGAGAAAACCTCTGGACAGATTCTGATGAAATTTGGTATGATAATAGCTGGTTATCTGGGTCAACCAATAGAATACTTTTTATGCCGAAAAAATTTTATATCTCTGAGAAATCTATACTAAACTTTAAAACGTGAAATAAATAAATAAAAACGTAACGTAGTGTTTCATAAATTCGCTCACAATGCGCGTTTTGTTACGGGTGTTTATTCGTGTCAACTTAAAAGAATCAACATGTATATAGGACACACGCTTCATGAACGTCGACGGCGCATTCACTGCGTGTAGAACGCGCACCGACAGGTCATTAGAAAGCTGTATGACCAGAGCCTTAGGAAGCTAGTTAGATAGAGATTTAGCGTGATAGTGTGAGGTCGCGTTGTGAGCATAGGCCTTGAAGAAGGTAGTATATAGTTATTGAATATGTGTGAATGTGGTCTGAGGAATTTAGTTAGACACTAAGTACCGGTTCACACTAGTGCTGATCACGGTTTGTTCTCAGTCCAATCGATCTGGTAAATAATGTTTATAAAAGTTGCTAGTGTGTGATTCGACCGGAACTTAACTCATAGGACCTATCCATACTAAAGTGCCGACGACGTTTTGTTTTCGGTCTGATAATGGTCTGGTAAAATATTGTCATACAAGAAACAATGGGTGCATTCACACTATCAGTAAGAGTCACGTCCCAGTCAAATTACACTCCAACAACGTTTCTTGTATATAAAAAAATTAAAGAGTGCGTGTATGAATGTGTATACGCGCAAGAAGTAAAACTTTTGTACTCTTTATGAAATTAAATTTTTTGTTTATAAATAATTAGGATAGTTGAGATACTAAAAATAACGCATATTAGGCATAATACAATCATATATTTATAGAATATCATTTGAGGAAAGAATATAATATTATATATCATTTATCGAACAATAACAACGGTTACCATGGCAACGAACGTACTTACATTTTTTCGTAACGTATTCACCAGCTTACCCCCCAAGTCAAGCGTGCGTAAAGAAGCTTTACTTCAAAAAATCTTTACCAGACCGATATCGGACTGAGAACGACCCGTGATCGTCACTATTGTGTGGATCGGGCTTAACAATGTTTGTGTGCTGGCGCGTCGCAGTCGCTGGAGCGTGCGATGAAGTTCTCGTTCGGCAGCGCGCACGTGTGGCGCCAGCGCGCGCTGTGCACGGCCGCCGCCGCCGCGCCCGCCGCGCCGCCCGCGCCGCCCCACGCGCCCGACGCGCCGCCGCCCCCGGGTAACACCTCTCACCTCTCACTCTCTCTTACTCTCTTGTAAGAGAACACACACACTATTTGCCCCTCTCTCGTTACATCTAACACTTTCATGTCTTCTATACATATAATAAAATGTTAACTGAGCCGAATCCATACATTAAATATTTTTTGAAATATTCTACGAAATAATTATTATTATTGATACAGAGGCCGAATCTATAGTTTTTAGAATGTTTATCTGTCTGTTTGTCTATCTGTCTATCTGTCTGTGACTGTATCACGGAAAAACTACTGAAGGGATTTTAATGGAATTTTGTATAATGAGGGACATTGGAGGTCCTGTCAATTCCTGCGGCGAGCCGCATTAAGGAAGTTCGTCTCACTATAAACAGTATGTGATCGTGTACGGTGTGCGTATGTACAGGCAGCGCGGCGTGGGGCGCCAGCGTGCGCGCGCTGGCGGTGGCCCGCCGCGCCGCCGCGCTGAGCCCGCACGACGCCGCGCTGCGCCTCGTGGCTGCCGACACCTGCTACCGCGCCGCGTGGGTATGTGCTCACACGTACACACACACACACACACACACGCACACGCACACGCACGCACGCACGCACGCACGCACGCACGCACGCTTGCACCATACAAGCGCTGATCCATTCCTCAAAAAAGATTGTATTAAAAAATAGCTAAGTTCGTACCGAAGTAGCGACTTATGGTCGATATATTTTATTTCTAAAAAGATACTTTACTCTGTGTTGAATAGGAAATAATCTCTCGTACGTTGACCTACGTATTTGTAGAAAAGGTTTTTTTTTAATTTTATTAAGGCTATATATTAGGCTATTATATCCAGTGATATAACATTAGTCTGTCGAACTCAATTAGGGTTGTGGATACCCACAACCATGGATCCGCGCTTGTGTCCATACATATCGGTCTATTCTCACCACACAGCATACACTGACAACACCCTTTTTTTTTTAACGTTGGGAAATGCATTTACGCACGAAGTGTGGGACTCACCGGTGAAGCCAGTACTACCCACTAAAACCCAACAAAACCTTCCCCCGTCTTAATGGGGCGTCGCAGGATCACTTACGCATTCAACTACGACGCCCCGACGGCAGGTCTGCCGAAGCAGACCACAACAACCATGGGGTTGCTCCACGGCCCACTCTGCTATCAGAGAAGTACCAGGAGCAACCCGCATGGTATACCACCCTCCGAAGAAGGCCGCCTCCCACCGCCCACCGAAGCGGGCCACCTCCCTGTGCGTTTCTTGGCTTCGTGAGTACACTACTGAGCTCCCCCACCACGACAAGGTGAACGCACTGTTATGGGTCCCTGGATAAGACCCTTTTTAAAAAAAAGATTTATTTATCACTGAAAACACTTTAATAACTTTATTAATTATTTATACAATATATATGGGATATTAAGAGCTAGTGCTCTCGACCGACGATACTCTCGAACTGACTTAATACAAATTAAAGGACATATATATAGAGTACAAAATGATGATAGCTAGTAGGGCTATAACATAAATAAGCAATAACCCATACAGCGAAGGGGTATAACACCTCCCCCGTTAAAATAAACTTCGGACTTCCTTTTTAAACCGAAGTTTATGAAAATTAAATGTTACATCTGATTGATGGATAAGAGGGTTGTTCCTCTACCTGTAAGTTACTATTATCAGAATTATTCTCGTCTTTTAAATCTATGTTAAGGCCCAATGATTTATTACATTTTTTATAATAGTATATAATCTTAATACTAATAAAATAAACTAAGACAAAAATAATAATAACCAATATCATTATGGTTAACATAGAATAATGTGTCCCATACTTAATTATATGAGGAATATCTGTATCTATTTCAGTTTCTAATAATTTCCTTTTCAATGATTCTTTTTGAACTGTTAAACTATCTAAATCTATTTTTTCTAAATTAATAGGAGACACACTGTCCTTAACCTTATCTAACTTAAATTTATTACAACAAGTGTCATTAATAATATTATAATCAAAGGTAATTATTTCCGAATGTATATTTTTATTAATTTTTCCCATCAATACTGTGTTTTTATTATAGGCAACGCAGGATTGGGGTAGGCTCAAAATACCTGTTCCCAATAATATATTTTCACGATGTATTTTCAATTTTTGACATTCTATTACTATTTTACTACTTTCAGATTGAATAAATATCCATTTATTATTATTTAAGTTTTTCCAAATATCAACTTTACCATATATAAATTTTGTTTCACATTGGTCGGGAAGTTTATTAATAACCTTTGATAATAATTCACTTTCACAAGTAATCTTAGCATCAGTTGCATATACATTAGGAACATCACATATAAAATGCTCATGACTTATAATTAAACAATTATTCAAACTGTCCAGATCAAAATAATGATTCTTATCAATCGTTATTGCGATATATTTAGTACTAGGGATTATCAGACTGAAGGATTCAGGATTTTTAATATTATGTGGTGTAGGTAAAGGTATATTATGATATAATTTATATAATTTATTAGACACTAGCGGTATTTGCAATACAAATACTAGTCGGGGTTTCATAAAATAAGATGATACTTTGGAAATATTCGTAATAATATGCATCATATTAATTTCAAGAGGGACTGGTAGTTCAAGTCCTTGTTGTAAATATCGAAAAGAGTCTACTAGTTCCTTATAAAGCTGTGTCGGTGTCATTATTGCCGGGTGCAGTTTATTCAGACTGCTGAACATTATGGCATTTATAATATCCTCTAGTTGAAACGATAAGGTAAGAAGGGACATTTCAAGGTTGCTAAATAACTCGTTTATACTTAACTGTAACTGAATTTTGTCGGTAGCAATAGATATATTTTCTACTACTGAAGAAAATTTATTAATTGCTTCATTTAAATGATATTCATTCAATTGAACTTTTAAAATTGTTTCATTAAAACGTGTAATTATAGAATTAGTTACTAAGACATTTTCCTTAATTAATGATGACATTTTCTCCTGGTTTTTTAGTATAGACTCTATTGCATTATTGAAAACTAGACCATCGTCCTCGTCTAGAGTTCCGAAAATATGCTTCATTACTGAACCAATGCCAGCAAACCAGGCACTACGTTTATTTTTTGTGTCTAATAGATGAGAAACAGCAGAAAATTGTTTTAAAATTTCATTGTAACGAAATGTTAACGGTTCAAATATATTATAACATTCTACGCTATCTGGAATTTGGTTACAGTTGTTTCTAACTGTATTGATTACTGAATTTATGTTGTCAATATGTGGTTTTATAAAAGATGTATCTATCGGAATTAAAACATTTAATTGTCCTTCAATTATTTTTACATTTCCTAAGTAATCAAAATAAATGCCGGAGCTTGCGGAAATTCGTTGGATGAATTCCTGTTCCAGTTGGGCGGATACACTGAAAATATTATAATGTGTTAGTTATTTTTAATTTACGTAATTAGCCCGATGCTAAAATTATTTAACCCTTAAGTTGAATATAATAAAAAATAAAATAAAAATATAAAAGTAAATGTAAATTAACTGTAAAAAAAAAGACTTATATCTAATTAATTTGAAATTTCATAAAGTATTATATTACTAATTATATCAGTTTATATTATTACTAGATATATCAGCTAGTTTTACTTGGTCATAATGGTGAGTAACATGTCGTCTATTGATTAATAGTGATAACGTATTGTTACCAAGAATTTTCACGATTTTATAAGGTCCTTTCCATAAAGGAGATAAGGCCTTCCGCATTCTTAAATGGTTTTTCAGGTAAACATAATCACCTACTTTATATTGCTGTGGTTTACTATGAGAGTCATAATAGTTTTTTGAATTGTTTTTAGAATTTCGTATGTTTTGAATTGCCTTTTCTCTTGAGTATTTAAAACGGTTTTGTAGCATCTTCACATATTCTGGATAGGTTGCTCCAGGTGATTCTTCGAAAATAGAATTTGGAATAAAAGGCTTGTGAGCAAACATTAGTTCATAGGGTGTAAAATGAGTAGTGCAATGCACACTGGTATTATAAGCTAACATTGCAGTATAGACGTAACGAGGCCAATCCGTTTGTCCTTCGTTAACATATGATTTCAGATATTCTTTCAGGGTGGAGTGACTTCTTTCCAGTGCTCCTTGCGTTTGTGGGTGGTAAGGCGAAGACCATAACTGTTTAATTTTTAAAAATTTGCAAGTTGTTTTAAAAAGTTCCGATGTAAAATTTGTTCCTTGATCGGTAAGGATCATTTTGGGAATTCCGAAAATAGCAATAAAATGAAGAAGACATTCGCTTGTCTCTTCTGCAGTTGTACTACGAATTGGGTAAGCTACAGAAAATTTAGTAAGATCATCTTGAAGTGTGAGAATGTATTTTAATTTAGCTGTCCCAGATTCTGGAAGTGGTCCTACTATATCTAAGCTAAGACGTTGCCAGGGAGCAGTAGAAGTGCTGGTTATTTGCATAGGTGCTCTGTTTATTTTCCTTAAGGCTTTATTTTCTTGACATGATTTACAGGCTTTAACATATATCTCTACATCTTTTCGCATTCCTTTCCAATAATACATGTCTTTTATTCTGTTATACATGCGGACAGAACCAAGATGTCCTGCAATGGGTATATCGTGATTATCACGTAATATCTTTTTTAATTCAGTAGGTGAAGGATAAACTATGTTATTATGATATATATTTATTTTTATATTAGTATTATGGAAAAGATACATTAGCATATTATATATCTTAGTAAATGAATGTTTTTCAAAAGGATTTTTAAAATCTGAAATTGCTATTTCATTTATATTTTCAAATATTAATAACCTATTTCTGGCATTTTCCAGAGTTTTAAATATTTCAGCATAACGTGACTCATCAAAATGGTGTACTCTAGTGAAAAGAAGAAGATAAGTTTTATTGGTTGATTCTATTATTTGGAAAGAATGTAGCTGTCTCTCTGCTTCTACAATCTCTTTTGAATTTTCATGGTTACCTAAAATCTCTTCTATATAGGGATTAGATTCATCAAGGTCTATTGAGGTAGGAATTATTATAGTTTTTACAGTAGATTTCATTAGACTTTCGTTATGTTCTATAATTTGTGTATTAAAATTCCTATTTTTTTCAGATGTTGCTTTGAGAAATGTTGAATAGTCATCAATAGATGGGCTTATTTCTCGACTTGGTAAGTCAATGGGTCCAACAGCAGGTGAAGCAATAGGCTCTGCAGTCGGAGAACCAGCAAGTTCTTGAGAAGGTAAGTCAACTTGTTCTGAAGAAGGTAAGTTAATTCTTTCTTGTTCTGGAGAAGGTAAGTTAATTCTTTCTTGTTCTGGAGAAGGTAAGTTAGATCTTTCTTGTTCTGGAGAGGGTAAGTTAGATCTTTCTCGTTCTGGACAAGGTAAGTTAGATCTTTCTCGTTCTGGAGAAGGTAAGTTAAGTTGCTCTTCTGTATCAGAGAGAATTTCATCTAATCGGAAAGAAGGTGGAGAAATTAGCAGTTCTTCTAGATCTC